GAATTCAACAATTCAAATTTGCCAAGTATGTAATATTTCGCTAGAATTCAGATGTATAGGAATACGAAGTCAAGCTAGCAAAATTATTAAAAAGGTGGAACTTACTACAGCTCGTACCAGTATAAAAGGTAAAAAAATATATTGATAAACATTACAGAATATACAGGGTGAGTCAACGATAGAGTAAGGTCATTATCTCCTTTGTTTTGAGATTTACAAAATATGTTAAATATAAAAGTTATAGGGAGGGTTAAGATACACATTTTAAAATTATTGTAGAATATACAGAGTGCTTCAAAAAAGTGTTGCGGATATAACATGTTTTTTTTAAATGCAACACCCTATTTTTTATTTAATTTTTTAAATTTTACGTAAAATTCTACAACTTTTTTATCTAATAATATTTTTTTTTATAATATACAGGGTCCGGCAGTAGTGCGTCGGGCCATCTGTAGCTCCTAGAATAATAAACTTCACAATTTTGTTTAAGTGCAAACCTAAAGTATATACTAGGATGTATTTAGGAAAATATTTCAACTTTTATGGTGGCTCAAAAATGTGATCGGTATGTTTTTTTTTTAATGGAAGACCCTGTATATTATTGCATTTTTGGCTTTCTTTTGGACCACTTTACATAATATATTATATATGAGTAAATATATTTCGATAATATCAGAGATATTAATAAATAAATAAAAAATATATTTTTTCCAACCTTCATTATTTTTTTTTACTTTATGAAGCACCCAGTATATTCTACAATAATTTAAAACGTGTACCTTAACCTTCCCTATAACTTTTGTGTTTAACATTTATTTGTAAACATCCAAACAATTATTGAGATAATGGACTTTACTCTATCGTTAACTCATCCTGTACAGAACAGAAATTTGTACAGGGTGGAAAATTTAATGTATTACCCAACTACAATATTTTTTCGCGAAAGAACGAGTGATTGACTTTCGAGTTTTTTAAGAAATTTAAGAACCCCACTTTTTAAATTCAACACAGCGCGGTTTTCTCATCTATAGTGGCGTTAGGAACCTAAAAAATACTGTTTTTGCAATTATACGATTCAGAAAACCTGCAAATCCTGTATACCCTGTATAGAAAAATTTCTGTTTCAGGTTAACTCCAGTTTTAAGATGGAGAAAAGTATATCATATATTTAACTAAACGTTGCTTTCTTTTTTAGAATCTCTGTGGCCTTTGAAGGAATCTAATAAAGACAGTTCAATTCCCAGGACATTAGACAAAATTCACCAAGATACCCTTATATCTATTATTTAATTTTTATTTTGGAAGACATTCAATACAATTGTATTTACCTACTTATCACCAAAAGATTAATTCCGAAATAAAGTTATTTTCCTAATAAATTTGATATTTATTTCATTTAAATTGTTAGTACTGATCCTATTCGATTAAAATCAACTCAAGCTTTAAACAAAGTGACATATTAATAAATCATTAAGCATTGCATTTGAAAATATAAATAGAAAAGCTTGAAATTAAAGGAATGTATTTGAAAAACAAAAGGAAAACACTAATAAACAAATATATATTTCTTTAAATCAAATAGGCAGCATTTTTATTCTAAATCTGATATACCACTAACAATGACAATGATCACGTATGTTTTGTATACAAGTATATGCATAAAATCAATAGATATATTATTAATTCAATTATGACCATTAATGAGGCCAAAACATGTTTGATTTTATTTGATTCATTAGCATTATTTTTGATTTTACAACGTTTTTTCTCTCAGTGTAAAAATGCTTCATTCATAATAAAAAAAGCCAGCAATAACATTATAGTAACAATAACATATCTAAATATCGAAATACATAATATTAAAAGAAACTTGTTATTATCAGCAGCTGATTAAAACTGAAATGTTAATTACAAATTGAGCGTTGTAACGTTTTTAAAATCCGTTGCTTATTTTTCAATATGACCTAAGGAAAATTTATATTCGAATGTTCTCTACTTGATCCAACCCTGGTCTGGTTTTGAAACTCTAGTTGGCAATAATGGCGTCTTTAGATTTTTTATTTGATTACTGATATCCGTCACCGTCACAAGGTCTAGGTTGTAATTTAGTATTCTTGAATACCAACTTTGAAAATCTATATCATCTGTAGGAATTTCAACAAAAAAGGTAAAAATGTGACTTTGTCTATAGCGTTTCTACAGGGTGAGTTTTAAATAAGTGTGCAAATATTTTCAGGGTTGATAGATCTCAATAAAAGAAACATAGGTATTTTCTCTTTGCCGTTTTTCAAATAAGTCCAAAATAAGCGAGTTATTTTACTTTAAAAATTTCCAAAAAAATTATTTTTCTTAAATAAGAACCACTGGATCTTTTCCCTGGCCCCCCTTAGTTGCGCCTCTGAGTAGAAGTTTTTGTTTTTAGATCAATCAGACCGTGTAATCATATTAAATTTTCAATTTTAAATTAAATTTATGAAAGATACTCTGTGAAAATAATGGATTGAAATATCTTAAATAATCATAGTAAAGTAATAAAAACTTGAGACAACAAAAAATGTCTCCTGTATTTTTAGACAGAGAAGTTAAAGTTATCTAATAAATTTAGATTTAGAATCTGGACGTATAACTTTAGTTTCGAGAAAGTTTGTTTCTTCATAGTGAGGTCATAAATAAAATCGGGCATAAATACGTTTTATGCCTTGTAGTGTTTCTTTTTAACTTGGCAAAAGTGAAATATTTTATATGCAATTTTAACTCTTGAAATTTATGTACATAATCGTGTCGTGTATACATATATATTTTTTTATGTCCCTACTTAACTTATAGGTATCTTTGTTTAAAGATTGTAAATAAATATGTATGTAAATATTAACACAACAACTTCCATTATCTATATTTTATCATTAAAATTTAGAATAGTTTGTAATGCATCCAAATTTTAAATAATCGTTTGGCTCAATTGTTTTAAACTTATGTACTTTTCTGTTATTCTATTATTATTAATTCATTAAATTCAAAACTCTTTCATAACTTCTCTCCTAACAAGCCATTGTCCAAAACTCCAAGTTTTCCATTCGAAAATGTCCCAATTAAAGATGAATTTAAATTTTAAAGATAAAACGTCTCGCTGTCTTGTTTAAATGTTAATTTGATTTTTAACTTGGAAATCGAATTTAATTAGATTTTGATAATAAACATAAATCAAAACTTTGAAAGTATTCGATTTACCATTATCATTGTCATATTTTAATTATTATCTACCATATTCTATAGATGATCTAATAAAAGAATGATGAATGGAATTTGCTTTAAAATCTTAATGTAAATCAATAATTTTCAGAGAAATATATTTTTTTCCAATAACAAGGGGCCGTCCTCTGCCGGAAACACTGCAACCTGTGTGGCCTGTTGTGTTTGTCCCCTTTCTATAACTGCGCCCATTCTCCAATCCCTGTACCCTGCACCAACTTATGCAGGTTCTTGATAGGGTGGTAGCATAGTTTCTCCAGTTTTAGCCTAGCTTTTCCAAATAAAAAGTGTCGCTTGCGTTCCAGAGTCCCAGCCTACTCCAGCTCCTGTTCCTTCAGCGGTCTTTGAGGAGTATTTATCGCAGGTGTATACTGCAGTCTAGACTTCCTGGGTACATTTATTGCATATCAGGTTTTATTCACAGCCATATGGTTTGTCAAGAGTACCCATTGTAATTCGCACTTCTATTTCTACTAAGCATTAGCGGTTCTTGTGGTTTTAGAGCTAGGTCCTTGGTCTTGCTGTGCCTGTGCCCCTGTCTGTTTCTTCAGTGGACATTTTGCTTCCCCTGATCTAGGGTTTTAGTGCACTACGGGACCATACATTTGGGTATTCCCAGTACTGGCTCTGGACCAAGATAGGATGCCGATCAGCATTTTCGTTGCCTAGCTTGATGTCGCTATGGCTCCAGAATAATTTTTTTAATTCTGTTCCTTCGTGCTAGAGCTCCCATTTCACCCAGATGAGGCTTGACGATACCTTTAGTCTCATAAGCGCCCCAAGTGCTGCCTGACTTCTGTGCATATATTGATGAGCTTACCTAAATAAGCTCTTCTGTTGTTTTCTCTCGCACATTGTACAATGGCGAAGATTTCTGTCTGAATATGGTTGAGTAAGTTGCCCAAGAGAGGGGTTATTTGGTCCGATCTCATTTGGATTAGAGGTCCCCCATCTTTAATTGTCCTGTTTCTGTCTTATTCCCCCCAGACAACACACTTTGTTATCGATAGAGTCCAATTCCTGCCTTTACCTGGATCACTATGTGAAGAGGCGGAAGGTCCAGAAGCGCCTCCATTCATGCAGTGGGCGTTGATTTCATCGCCTCTGTTATGCTCAGACAAGCAAGTCTTTGCACCTTGCTGAGGCTGAGCATTGTTGTTTGTTGCATTACCTTAGGCCACCATACCAAGGATGCATATATTACTGAAGGCCTCACAACCGCAGTGTACATCCAGTGCACCATTTGTGTTCCGAGGTCCCAGATTTTTCTATGAAGTCATCTGAATACCGCTCGTGTCGTCACCGCCCACCTTGTGACATTTTCTAAATGTCAGTTCAGGACAGTTTGGTATCTAGCGTGATCCCTAGATACTTGGCCTCTCCCGAGAGAGGAATCTCTTCACCACAGAGTCTTAGAAGTCCTAGTCCCTCCAAATTATTCGTGAGAAATATATTTAAATATATTAACCGTTTAGAAAAAAAGTATATACCTTTGTGGGGGTTAATTTCTTGAAAATGTTTGAAAATGTTTGAAGTTCGGACGGGAAGAGCTTCTTTAAACGTTAAGCATGTTTTGTCGGTTAGGCAAATTTGTTTTACTATAGTAATACAAAGATACAGACTTTTTTTAAAATACGATTAAGGGATAATTTTACTGCAGTACTAAAATTACTTTTGTGGCAAATTATATTGCATCTAATCGTTCACTCAATTTGTGCTAGAGTATCAGTGAATAAATAGAACATATTTTATTTTTGTATATTATTTATTGCAAACCATTTTTTACTAAAGAATAAATTAGATAATTTAGAAAGTTCCTGGTGCTGGGGCAGTGTTCAAATGATGGCTGAAGGCGTGGGGACCTTCTGGAAGGGGGGCAGTGTGTACAGCTCCGGGGTTAGCGGCAACGTATCTGTAAGAAAAGAAAATACTATGATACACGGACCTTTAGATAGTTTGATTACTCTCTAGCTAGAGTATAAGCTAACTAAGTAAACACTTTAATATTAACATAGAAACAGGGTGTCCATAATTTAAAAGTTACCATTGGGATCTCAGGAACTATATTAGTCAAACTATGGCAGTTTAGTAATTTTATGTCCAAAAAATAGACATAAGAAAAATTAAAAAGAATTTGTTGTCTTTGTTTTATATACATATGCTTACGGTATATGTATTCCGATTTCGGTTAATGTTTAGAATATCTTCGCAAATATTGGGTTTTGTTTTGTTTTTGGTTGTTTTCTTTTGTGCTATTCTCGAGATTAACCGGGTAATGTCGATATTAACCGAATATCGAACCGTAACCCTAACATATACATATGCTTGCACACATATGTCTTTGTATTTCGTTTTATTTTAGAATATCTTCGCAAATATTCGGATATTTTAAATTTACGAGACGTCATTTTATTGGTCAAAAAATTGCGCAAATTAAGTTGACCGTAATTCTTATAGTTTTCGAGAACTCAATGTTCACCTTCAAAATTTGTGACACTCTGTATATCTGCATTAAAGGCAACTGAAAATTTGAGATTGGTTACTACTTGTTTTTTATTTAGAAATAAATATTCTTACCCAGATTTGATAGCTGGAGCAGCTACAACGGCATGGGAAGCATAGGCTAAGGGAGCGCTGTAAGCTAAAGGTGCGCTGTAAGCCAGGGGAGAGCTGTAAGCCAGTGGAGCTGAGTAATGGGCGGAGTAAGCCAGAGGACTAGCTAATCCGTAGCTGTAGACTGAGGGAGCTACAATGCCAGCTGAGGCGACAGCGGCGAGAGCGAAGAGAACAGCAATTACGGCCTGAAAAATAATTACAAATATTTTTAATGAAATACTACCAAAAACTGCAAAAATAATAAGAAATATAGAAGAGTTTTTGAGTAAAAATTGGCCAAGTGCGAGTCGGACTCGCGCACGAAGGGTTCCGTACCATTCATTATCTATACAACATTAGACACTATATTATTATAAACTTTTTTTCCGATTTAGCTGAAATTTTGAATGCGCGTATAAGTAATTTAAAAAAAAATGAAGAAATACATTACTAAAAATTGTATTAATCAATATAATATGTAAATATGTAAAAATTATAAAAAAAAACGATTAAAAAAAAGTCGCCTTGACCAGGATTCGAACCTGCTTTACTACGGCTCCAACGTCAAAAAGTTAACCACGCGGGCCATGGAGGACTTGAAAGATTCTTACTTAAAAGATAATGTTTAGTGAAAGTACTTTTTTATTTATAAACATTTATTTAATTCTGTTTTTAGTATTTGTTCTTATAGCGGCAACATAGATACATTATCTGTAAAAAATTCAACTGTCTAGCTATAACGGTTCATAAGATAGAGCTTTGTGACAGACGGACGGACGGACAGCGAAGTCTTAGTAATAGCACAGAATATCTAGCTACGCAGTGCTATGGCTATGCGTAGTAGCTATGCGTAGCTAGATATTCTGTGGTAATAGGGTTCCCGTTTTTACCCTTTGGGTACGGAACCCTAAAAATTTGTGTGTGTATGATGTGGATATTTCTAACCGGATCGTAATAAATAATTCTAATGGTTAATAGTTCTAGTTAAAGAAACAACTAGAGTTACCATAACATATCACAATTTGTTTATCGAATGTGTATTTTATTGTGGTGAGTTTTTTAAGATAGTTTAATATTGGTACAGTTTGGTTTGCGCAAATTAACTGCCTAACGGCCCTAAAAACGAGTCTAACGGCCCTAAAAACCCCCGGAAAAACATTTATTTGTATTAAATTATTATAATTAATAAAAAAATTATAAATTATTATAAATATTATAATTATTAATTATAATTATAAAAGATAAATTATTAATAAATTATAATAGTAAAATAAGCAAAATATTTGTTTCCTTTTTTTTGACTGAATTTTAACTCAAAATTAGCATTCTGCATTTTAAAGTAACCACCATATTCAACCTAACTTTATTCGAAAATTCCTTTTAATATATGCACGAGGATTAACTTACTTAACCGTCCGCTGTTCACCAATAAATACCCTGTATATAAACCGCGCTCGAATTTTAAGCTTTCAGTAAAGTTTTCAACGTACCAAAACTAAAATCCGCTAATTAAAATCGACTCCGAAATATGCCACTAATTGTTTTATTACGGGACAGCTACACCCGTTAAATATTCATTCGCCAGCGCGGTTAAAACTTCAAATTGGGGATCGGGTAAAATCGTCGCGGTTTAGGGCACCTCCAATTTGCATATATGGAGACTGGGCGATACACTAGAACGGCTAGGGAATAGTGAAGAAAATCTAGCACAAAACTGGGATGACTTTAAAGTTTATCAAGTCGTAGGGACAAGTTTGCGAGCTGATTTTGCAAGATAAATGTCAGAAATAGCAGTCCTTTGGGCATAGAAATCTTTTTTTAGAAATATTACCATTAATAATAAATAGAGAAATAATAGGTACATAGTTCTATAATACAGGGTGGTGACCTAGTATTTCAAAAAGCTCCATATCAAGTTTTTCTTCAATATTTTTACTTCTTTTTTACAATAAATGCAAGCGATGGTGGAGCATAAATGCAGGCACAATCAATGCACAGGATGATACCATTCTATAGGGTGTCCCAATATTCCGTGGACATAGAATTGCTGCGTATTTTTGGAATCAAAATAAGTTCGTTGAACATAATTTACCTCTATACAAAAGTGCTTCATTTGTCCGTTAGGGGGCATCAAATTAAAAAAAATACATGTATCTGTGATTTAGTATTAAGTTTTAAAATGTGTGACTGTGTTAACTGCTAACACCATATATTTTAAACAAACTGTGCTTTTCTATTCTTTTATAATATAACTAGTGATGGGATAACTCGAGCGAAAATTCGCTGGAGTACCCGATTATTGAAATAACTGACATCACGCGATTATGAACGAGCGATGGAAGTGACGAACGCAAGCGATCCTAGAATGAAATAAATTGAAATCCGATATTAATGTGACATACTCGATAAAAAGCCTAGCGAATTTTCTACATACATTGCAGGTAGCAAATTTATACGACGTTATCCGTTGCGTATCTGAGGGACAAAATTTTACGACCTACATCGACAATGCTTTGAAATAAACTAAATCAAGCGATCAAGCGAATCGCTTGCTACTTGCCATTCAACACTGCGCACGCAACTTACTGCTTGGCGCTTGGCGTTAACGAGTAACAATACTTGCAGCAAGCGATGGGTCAATAACCGTATTTTTAAATACGAGTGATATTTCGCTCGAGCGATCACTCGGTTATTGCAATCGCTTGAAACTCGAGTACTCAATTATTGAAATTAATCGGTTTTTCCCATCACTAAATATAACATTGGAATTATATCTAGATTAAAGCAAGTTTTTAATTTGATTGTTATAATTATTAACTAACACTCTCATTTTATTTTTAATATAAGGGAAGAAATATGTTCGACTTGAAAACGACACTCGGGTTGTCGAAACGTTGTCATATAGAAGTAAATTCTTAAATATTATTAACAAAATTTTAATCTAACACATAAAATAACGACCTAAAGCCAAAAAAAAGCTTCCCTAAAGATATATATAATATACAGGTCCAAGAAAACTAAAAAAAATAAATAAAAAAATTAACTAATTTTTTTAAATATTTTAAAAACAGATATTCCGATTTAACTGAAATTTAGAGTGCCTATGTTTTGCTCAGTACTTTAGCATTTGACTGTCTCAAAAATCAAGGAAAGTATAGGAAGGGTGAAAACTACCCCCACCCCTAGAAATATTTCTACTAAAATGTATATATTTAGTAAAAATCCAGCGACATCTGATTTTCGTAAAATGGTTCTCCTACTATTTACTAAATTTTTTATTTCTTGTAAAAAAATACTACATCGCATATTTTTTGAGAAGAAAAAATCGATTTTTTTCCAAAGCAGGCCTACAAAATATTCAGGGAGTTCTAATATCCTATGTTCAGGACAACTACGTATTTTTTTGAATCAAAATTAGTTAATTGGCCACAATTTACTTCTATACAAAAGTGCTTCGTTTGGCTCTATTAGAGTGCATCAATCAATAATCAACACGAATGTTATTTAATTTAAAATTTATGAAGCTTAGATATTAACTTCCAACTAGATTATTAGCGCATAATAGACTCCCTGCATAGCTTGATGGGACATGAAATATTTTTTGGAAGTCAGATTGGAAGAAGACCAAGATATTGAGCAACAATATCCATAACATTACCGTTGACAACGTTATTATTGAAAACGTAGACCATTATATATATATTTAGGTCATAAAATCAAGCTGGGCAAGGAAAACCAAAATACGGAGATCAAACGCAGGATCCATTTGGCATGGGTAGCATTTGGAAATATGAGCAATATTTTCAAGGATAAAAAGGTGCCCATGAACCTAAAGAAAAAAGCTTACGACAGCTGCATTCTACCTGTGCTTACGTATGGCTTAGAGACTATGTCAATTACTCGAAAAACAGCAGAACAAATACGAGTAGCACAAAGAGCCATGGAAAGAATCATGTTGGGAGTCAATATTAGAGAAAAAAATACGGAATACCCACATACGTCAAAAAACAAAATTAATAGATGTCGTTAAAAGAGTGGCAAGTCTGAAGTGGCAATGGATAGGACATGTGGCAAGACAGGATTCAGACCGATGGCCCCAAAAAGTATCCTATGGAGACCTAGGGGAACAACAAGAAGTGTGGGCCGACCAAAAAAGAGATGGGTCCATGACGTCAGAGCAGTGGCGGGAAGACAATGGATAAGATTGGCTAGAGATCGCGAAGCATGGAAAAACCTAGAAGAGGCCTATATCCAACACTGGATGGAACCAGGCTGAGAAAGAAGAAGTGTGACTACTTCGTTTCAATAGAAGTAGAAAGAATCGGCCTACAAATATGTGGTTGTTTATTCAAAACATTTATTTTTAACTTTAATAAAATTATATCCCTAGATTTTTCCGGTGTGTTTATCTATACTTTTTTAATTATGACCGTTTTTACTCTCTGTGCTTTGAAAACTCTCGCAAATTCGATATATTTTTTAATTGGAAATATTTTATAATTATATCGTTTTACAGGCTGAACTATACTAAATTCTATTTTTTTCCACTATTTCAAATTGAATACCCTGTATTTTATAACACTACGTAGTTTTTAATGAACTTTTGAGTCCCCAAAATCGATGTTTATTCACTAATTTTCAATTTTATAGTTTTCAGTTGCATCAGAATAATAAATCATTATAATTTCCTGACTCTATTTTTATAGATATGGCAGAACAAATTTATTCATATACCCATTGTTACTTTTCCTGCTTTACAAGTTGATGTTATTACATTTTCTATCTGACGTTTCGATTTCTAGATATCATCAACTTTTTTTTAAATATGGATCTGGATTTTCATTTCAGTTTAAAAGTTAATGTATAAAAAATGCATTATAAAACATATTCCCTTAAGAGGCAATGTGTAAGAGGGAAATAGATATACGGTATCAATTTCAATATAATTATGTGCGTAAAAAACAAGCAGCATTTTTTAGTTATTGGAGATAAAGAATTCGGGTCCGTATTTAAAAAAAATATTGATAGTTGCGAAAAACGTCACATAGCAAATCTAACAGCATAGACTTGTTGAGCAGAAAAATTCGTTTTTGCTATAGATTTTCGGAGGCAATTGGATTGTTTCAGATTTTGGCGCAATTGTTCTGTAATTTATTCATCTTTGAATATCTTTTCGGGGTTATGAGATGTGCATTCTTATATGAGACAACTGTGCTGTGCATTCTTATATGAGACACACCGTATAATACCCCAGGTAAATAATTTATAGTGATATTTATTAAATATTTTTTTATTTAAAGCTTAATTTCTACTTCAGATAAGTAGGTAATGAGTATAATAAATAAAACAAGAGACAAATCATGTGTTTTATTTTCAATTTTTTTTTTGAATATAACACAGAATTCCATTTAAAATAGCAAAGATAAATATATAATTTGGAATTAGCCTGTACATATATATTAAGCAATATAGTTTATTTTGGTATGAACTGATTTTGAAGATAATACTGTTAATTAACTTACCGATCAAAAAAAAGTATTTACAGTTTTATAATTTTCGAATTGCTTTGATATTGTTAGAAACCTCTGAAGAAAAAAATGATTTTTTTTCTTCAGAGATTTTAATTTTGATATTTCTGAAGCACCAACAATTAAAAATAATAAAATAAACCAAATGTATTCTTTTTAACATCAATAATGATCTTGAGTTTATAAAAACTCTGACTGAGAAAATTATTATTTTTACCCTTTTTATTCAAAATTTTCATATTTCCATTGTAATGAACATAATTAGTTTGTTTTTAAAAACGACACTAAAGCGCAGCTAACAGTCCATCATGTTTAAAAAAAAGAACCAAATAATAATAATAATAATAATAAATGGCTTAGGGGTTTCTAAAATTTTAGACATACAGGATGAGAATAGAGAAAATATTTTGAGGGCTGTTAGATCTCGATAAAAGAAACCTTTTTTCTCTTTACCGTTTTTAAAAATAAGTCCAAAATAATCAAGTTATTTTACTTTGAAAATTTAAAAAATATGATTTTTGCTTAAATTTTGAGAACCACTGGATCTTTTTCTTTCTTGTAAATTTAACCTACCACTTATGTTGCCATATTATCAAGTTATTATGTTTTAACTAAAAATTAAAAAAAAAATAAAAGTTCTAGATTATCAGCATTTGTTTTCGTGAAAAAAAGCTCATAGATGTGTTTCTGAGGTCGAAATATATTAACCCTAAAAATATTTGCACTTATTTAGGACTCACCCTGTATAATAAAAACCAATTAAGTAACGTTATTTGGATCAAAAGTTATAATTAAAAACAGAAGTAAAAAAGCATATTAACAAAACAGAAGAAAAACATCTAATTTAATACAGATAAACATTCCTTTAGGATGAGAATTTAGCAGATAATTATATTATTAAAAAATACCTAATAATAAAAATAAACAGAACATTTTTTAAAAAGGAGTAATTAATTTAACACTTACCTTCATGTTTAAAATTGTGAAGTTAGTTATACCTATTTCGGCTGACGAAAAACTGTATATGCTTAAAATCGCGACAAAATTCGTATTTATACTGAATTTCCTGTCGATTTTAGCGATTTTAGGTAGGTTGAAGAGTAAACGGCCTTAGGACGTGTGTTGTTATTTCAGAAGGAAATCTCCAAAAAAATAACCCATGTAAAAACCAGAAAGAAAAGGAACTAGCCTTGGTAATGATTTATTATTATGTAGGTTTGGGCGTGGTCATTTAAAATACCACTGTGTTTTGATAAGAAGATAATGGTATTAATAACAACAATCATTAAAGTTTTTTATGTATTTAATACTAAATTGTTTATCTGGTATTTTCTTTAATTTGGCTTTATTTGTTATTAATTTTAATAAACCTATATAGGATGTTACGATGGAAAATATATTTAATATAATTATTATTATATGTATACCGGGTGCCTCTAAAAAGTGGCTCACCCCTATAACTTTTTTATTTTTTCTGATAAAAACACGAGATTTGGTATGCTAGTATATGACATAAATTAGGATTGATTGACGTATTCAATTGTTTTCGGTCACTTTCTGTTTTACCGGAAATGACTATAACTTTTGATTTTTAAATGACACCCTCGGTATTTTTTTACTCTATTCGATAGAAAATGATACTCTGAATAAAATGATATATCAAATGACAACTTTTGACATTTTTGCTTAAAAATCGTATTTTAAATTTCAATCTAGAGTTGGAAATCTAGAGTTGGAGCCTTGGAAAATTTGATCTAATGCTTTTAGTGTCTTGTCCTGGTCGGTTAAAAAATGCCCATTATGCAATTTATTATTTAATAACTTAATGAATTGTTATATTATATTAAAATAAATTTAATCTAATTTAATAAAAAAATTGTTTAACAATCACAAGTACCTACTTATTATATAGTTTTTAATATCATCTGTTTTTTTTTCAGGTAAGGCATTCAGTTAATCAACATCCTCAACTTAAAGGGTAATGTAGAAAAATATGAATAGATTCAAGTTAGTGTTAAGCAACCGAATTATACACAATTTATTTTTATGATTTGTATGATTGCAAACATTCGACAGAGCTTAAAATTTCTATTTTATTGACTATCATAATAACTACTCCATCCTTATATCGGGTGGTGCATCGTCATTGGAAACATAGGAAATCGCATGAAAATTTTGAACTGTCCACATATTGGCTCTCCTGTTAAATTTACAGCGAAGTTATAAGTAGTTTTTTAGAGGTCTGCGCATTAGAAGTAATTTAAGGAAATTTGTATCTATTTTTAAATTAAAACTGAACATTTAACGATGCAAAACCAGAGGACAGAATGTACGGACGAAAAGTTATTACTCTTCAAACTAGTTAAAAAATATGTAGGTAGCGCACCCTACAAGTAGGAGTCATACTGACACCAAAATCAAATTCCCCATGTCCAAAATCTCCCAGACACCAATTTTCATCAATGTGGATATTAGTTCAGATATTATTTGGAAAAAATCGAAATAAAAATTTAACTTCTACACCCTGTATCTCCGATATCAAGCATTTTAGGACATACATTTATACGAACTTTTTTACTTATTTTTATTTGCAGAATATTCTGCCAAAGCTTCTTGAATACAATTCGGACCACTCTGTATAATTTTTACAGAGTTCTAAGTGTGCAGAAAGTTTAGTCGAAAAATGATATTTCAAAAGCCACTCAGTATAGACTATGAAACTAAAATATTTTTGAAATGAAAATTTTATAACAAATTCACTAGGTCAAAAATATACAGCATTCTCTTTAAAACTAAAATTTTAGTCTAAAATGTACAGGGTGTTTCAAAAAACATGTGCCATCTCTCGTGGGGAGATTCCTCACGTAAAAATAAGATTTATTTTTCATATCAGCATAGGTCAGATTCTGCTTTGTTTCGTAGCTATAGAGTGTTATTGTCTTAATAATAATTAAAAAAAATAATTTTAGAAAGTTTTAACATCCTGTAACTCTAAAACTGCCATACCCTCGTTTATAGGAACTTCTTTTCCTATTTTTTGATGAGGAATCAATGAGTACTTATTTAAAACTTTCGAAAGTTAATTATATTAAATGTTTCTAAAGGTTGCTATTAGATTTGGATCAAGGCAAATTAATAAAATTGCGTTTATCTCATCAAGGAGACCGAAATCGACAAAATATCAAGAAACAACTTTTAATCGCCATTAAACTGCTTACACTATCTTCGCTAACAAAAGAAAATAAAGTCAGTAGCGTACATGCTTTTTTTAGAAAAATATTCCAGTGACAACCAGTATGCATGTCGCTGTTGAATATGCCGCCACTTTTTTGCTTTCTTATTAGTAGTAACTTTTACCCTCAAAATTTCATTAAAAACGCTAAAAGTACTTGGAAGAAAATTATAATAAGCCGAAAAAATATTAAGATTTTAACATCCTGTAGCTACGAAACAAAGCAAATGTTGATATGAAAAATAAATCTTATTTTTACGTGAGAAATCTCCCCACGAGAGATGGCGCATGCTTTTTGAAATACCCTGTATTTTATTCATACTGTTAATCAATAAACACATAATATTCTTAAATTGTTTTTTTAACTAAGTGCAGCATATTGGATAAAATGAATCGAAACTCTGATATAAAAAAGAAGACACGACTCGAAGACACTGGATATAAAAATAACGCCACGGCACATAAAACAATCGGCACGCCAACTCTACTCAGATTCCATTGTTTAAAATTTCTATAAAATTTGACCTTGTCGGCGCCATTATGGTTTCCTAGTCAGGGCCGGATTAAAACGTATTAAAAAATTTCTCAGAAAATACGACAGGTCATTAATAAAAGACTGGTCGGGTGACTCTTCCGCACAGTCAGCGTTTACGAAATTAGCTCCAGTCATATAATTTCTGGACTAGAGCTAAAGTGTTTCAATTACTTCTTCCTAATTGTAATGGGTTCGGGAATATATGGCGTAAGAATAGATTACCTGCCGTAATGTACCTTGGCTTCCATTTCGTTTATCTTTCGGTTGCCGCTAGAGTTGACTCAGGTTTAGGTTTTTCTGCCTATTAAAGATTAACCCAAGGGTAAGTTGGGCTTATACGAGGCATGTTTTTTAAGTAAGTACCGTTTTGCGATTCCGCCGCCGCAGCGCTACGGTCGGCGTTCCGCGCATGCGCGCTGGTTACCTACATCTCTTGTCTATGTACAGACGCCATGATTCTTCATTGTATACGTTGTTTATTGAGTGTTTAAGATGCCTCCGACAATCGTGAGCCGCCCCGATTGTGAAGTACGGGCTGTCATACGATTTCTTAGTGCTAAAGGCGTAAAACCGATCGATATTCATCGTGAGATCTGTGAAGTTTACGGACAAAACATTATGAGTGATGGAATGGTAAGGAAATGGGTGAGAGCATTTAAAGATGGCCGCACAAATATGCATAATGAAGAACGGAGTGGGCGTCCTTCGGTCGTTAATGAAGATTTGGTGCAGAAAGTGGACGAAAAGGTGAAAGAAAACAGACGCTTTACAATTTCATCATTGTGCGACTACTTTCCTCAATGTTCTCGTAGTGTTTTGTATCGCATTGTGACCGAGAACTTGAATTACCGGAAATTGTGTTCACGTTGGGTTCCGAAAATGTTGACGGATTTGCACAAAACCCAACGTTTAGGCAGTGCATTGACTTTCCTTGAGCAGTACCACAATGAAGGTGAAGATTTTTTAGACAAAATTGTTACTGGTGACGAAACATGGGTGGCCTACGTCACACCAGAATCGAAACAACAGTCCATGGAATGGCGACATTCATCATCACCCAAAACAGTGAAGTTTAAGCAAACAATTTCTGCCCGGAAAATCATGTGCACAGTTTTTTGGGACAGAAAAGGAGTATTGCTAGTGGAGTTTCTGCCTCGTAATGAGACAATCAATGCAGCATCTTATTGTGAGACATTGAACAATCTGCACCGTGCAATCCAAAACAAAAGACGTGGCAAGTTGAGTAAGGGTATTGTTTTGCTGCATGACAATGCCCGTCCACATGTGGCTAATCGGACCAAAGATCTCATCAAATCTTTTAAATGGGAAATTCTAGATCATACTCCATACAGCCCTGATCTGGCGCCCAGTGACTACCATTTATTCCTGCACTTGAAGAAACACCTGGGCGGTCAGCGTCTTCAAGACGATAACGAAGTCAAAACAGTTGTGATACAGTGGTTAACCAGTCAGGCGGCAGAATTTTATGAGGAGGGTATTGAAAAACTGGTGCCACGTTATGACAAGTGCCTCAATATTCACGGAAATTATGTAGAAAAGTAGATTAAGGTACAGGCTTTCATGTAAAAATAAAATTATTGCGATATCTTTGCACGTTTTTTTTTAATTCCAAAACGGTACTTACTTAAAAAACATGCCTCGTATTATTTTTTTTGTCTTAAAGTTAGATAAGGTATACAATAACTGCTGGAAAAGAGGTTTTATAGAACCAATTAAACATTCCAAATAGCGGTATAGGCTGTCCAATGTTACACAGAAAACAGTATATTGTTTTATTTGGAGTAAAAATGACTTTGTGAGAAAACCGCCATATAGCCGAGGCACAAAAACTAATTTTTACTCCGAATAGAACATGCTATTTTTTTCAAACAACACAAATAATTTTTTTAACAATTTCAAACGTTCCAAATAATATAAAAAGATTTAGTTTACTATACCTTGTCATATAATGACATATATACCTTATACAGAGTGTCCCAGGCTGAGCGTTCATTAGAAGTTTCTAGAGAACTACAACATCTAGCTCGGAGATTTTTTGTTAGTTTCACAATGAGATCTATCGATTAAAAATATTGTCAATATGGCGGCACTTCCGGAAATACCGGATGTTGACAGCAACTTTCTTATTTTAAAGGGGTGCCCACATTTTTTATTGCATACTTAATTTCTCTAAAATTCTATGAAAATTGATGCTCAAACACTCTATACCTAGCATTAACCGTTTTGAAAAAAAATTAAAATTTTTTGAATTTTTTTTTT